CTTTCAGAAGCCAGTCTCTGCTCCCGGCCGATGACGGGAGCAGAGACTGGATCCATCTAGCGGACGTAGCAGGGCCGGAAACACAACATGGCTTCAGAAACGCTGTGCTATCCAAAAACAAAACTTTGGAGGAAGTCCAAAACGTGCGTCAGTTTAATGACGCACCTCGTCAGAAACCTTTAGATTTATATGACAAAGCTTGATGGCGAATTCGTGCTCCTTGTTAAATTAAAGTGGGAAATTCCATGTAAAGTTGAACATAACAAACAACTTCCTAAATGTATGCAGACTCTACGCACTTGCCGTGAGATAGGGACTGGTACTCAAGGCAAGAGGTAATGGATGCATCGTCTGATGAGATCACCGAACAGCCCCCGAGGCTGTCACCTCCATGCCGAGTGACCTCGTGGTGACCTCATCCGTATGACCCTCAAAGATCTGGCAGGACACTTGGCCATACGCGAATGTGCCACGCTTGTAAATGCAGATTTATTTATTCATAGCCGTGGTACATACACCCGAACTCGACATTCATTTCCGGCAGAAATAGAAAAATTACCCGCACATAATTTCTGGACAGAAAGACTTCATCCTTGCTACGTATTGGTTTTGACTTGATCAGTCTCGTGAATTCTGACTTGAATGGTTTCGTATGAAAACCGTTAAATAACGTGCCAAAGAGAACAAATTTATTTACTGTAAAGTGTTGTGTTAAGACGGTTCATCAATTAGGATTTGTCAGTAAAGATGGCCACGTTTCACAAAGCAGTTAAAAGCCTATTAATTTATACTCAAGTTATTTTCTCTGATCATCCTAAAATCTCAATAGCAAAACCACTTTAGAGGAAAGAAGATATATACTGTAATAACTACAGGCCTGCTCCACTGTTGTTCAGTTTCTCCTAAAGTATCACATATTGGTCTGAGGCCGATTTGACTTTAGGAAAGGGATACCCACTGCAAATAATACCTTCAAGCTAATACATAAGGTATTAAAAGCTATTAACCATGCTGCAGGTACAGTTCATAATGTAGCAAAAGCGTACAACTGCAAATCATGAAATCCTGTAAGCTAAATTACATTTCGCAGTATCCAAGAATCTACGGCAAATTGTTTCAGAATCTATCTTCTAGCTAGAAGATACTGGAAATAAAGAAATTCTGCACAAACTGGAGAACAGTAAAGCAGAGAGTTCCACAAAGGTCAATATCAGAGACTCGGATTTCTTAATATGCATATAAATTACCTTCCTCCAACAACAAATGCCTAGATTAGAACCTTTAATATTCACAGATGACACTAGTGTCAATCTGTAATAAATCATTTGATAATTTAAGTAAAATAGCATGTTTTAATCAAATATGGTTACAGAAGTCTGCAAATACCAAATTCATAGGTTTACAAACTGACAGAAGCTTAAATTGCACGAAAAATTTAAGTGAGATGGTTCAAAAGCTGAGTGCATCATCTACTTATGCAGTTACATCAGTGTTTCATCTGAGTCTCAAAAGAAAACCTACATTAATTCATTTTGCCCATGTTCACTACATAATGAAGTATCGGAAAACATTTTGGGTAAAAATTAACTTTAACAGGATATTTACCTTAACAGAAGAATACTTTTAGATTTACGGCAGGTGCCAAACTAAGTTCATGTAAAGGTAAGTAAAAAACTTTAGGTATATTAACTCTACTATGCAGATATGTGTATATATCATACCAGTGACTTTGTGCATAACTAAGAATACTTTTGATAAGTGTAATGCTACATATTGTTAACATAAAGAAAAAGTACTACTAAGAATACTTTTGATAAGTGTAATGATACATATTGTTAACACAAAGAAAAAGTACCAGCTTCATGGACCACCTGCCAGTCCCTCATGCTTTTGGAAAGATGCAAAAACATTTTTAACAGTTCTTTCATACAAGTCTCAAAAGAATTATGAATAATGGGCAATTTGAATTTTAAACACTAAGCAGTGGCTAATGGATGAGCACCTGTCAGTATTTAATGACACAGCTCAATATTTTATATTTAAACAATGGTACCTTAAGCCTAGTTTTTAATTTTTGATATTTTAATGAAGGATATAAATGTTTTATTTTCACCAGGAAACATTCCAAAACTCCAATAGTCTCCTAATATATACTTCAATAAAATACTGGATCTTAATAGGTTAGACTGAAACATGGTTCTAGTACAGAAATTGCAAATAGTTACTGGTACATTATTCATACATCTGCAGCAGTATGACTAAAATCAAATTATAATTATTACAAAACTTCAAATTCTTCTCACCTGTTTAATGCGATGTTTGGGTGTGCTGGCTCACGTTTCAAGAATTACATTCTCACACCACATTCACAAAATTCAAGTATAATAAAACTCTTATTAAATTACACTGCACTACTTGTTTCAACGTGCTTCCGACGCACAAATTAAATATCACTCGGCACGACAATTTGATATCACATTCTGCTCTTGCCAACCTATGAATGGATCCGAGGTAGGCTGTATTCGATTAATTATAGAACGTAGAAATTGTCTTATTCCGTTTACCTTCCATTCTTCTCTCTTTCGTTGGCACCCCCGACCCAAGTCTGATAACCTCTCCTTAACAGTTATATGCTGTGATTATGATTATCCCTCTACCTTCTGCGTGCAAACTGCAGCATCAGAAATTCCTAGCTTACCGATGTTACGTTTTCCGGTAAATACTGAAGGGTTACAGGAATCTCATTCCATACAAACTTACCGCAGTTTTATTACTAGTGCTACAACGTAAGCACTATTTTATCCGAAATTGAAGCCATGGATGGGTCACATCATTAGCCTATTTCCGATACTTATTAAGTTTTGATGCTGCTACTCGTTTGGTACCGACAACACAATTTACTTACTCTGGTTATTATTCCTACATCAATGAACAAGTCCCATCACTAAATTCTCCTTAACTCCAACACAAATGTTACGCAACCGAACATTATTAACATTCGCCGAATTAAAAACAACGCATCGAAACAAAAAGACTGTTCGCTCGCCCGTGCCGTACTACGTTCTATTATACACACACAAACAAAATTGTTACCTCTTTCGTCTGATAGCAAACATTTTATTTTTCCGGCCATCAGAGTGACGGCCGCTTTCGAATGAAAGGTCTCACCACATTTTGTTGCTCCTTTTCACTCACACGTTAAATTACCTTACAGAATTTTATATAGGATCCTACTATTTTACATATGCAGCTATGGCCACCTACAGAAAAAGCGAGTGCAAAATGTTCGTCTAGCACAAGTTTCACACAAACATACCAGTAACACAATAATGCCATTGGCTTACTAACACGATCACTCCGATGATACACAATAATGCCATTGGCTTACTAACACAGTCACCCCAATGATGCTGGCTGTAACCTCTGAAATGATGGTAAACTACTACCAGACTACATGGTGCTATAACCCAAAAGCAAGCAGTCTTTGTGCTTACTGCCATAACCTCAAATCCTAATAACTGTAGACATGATCAAATTTGTAAAATTCGTGAACTCCACTGCAGTACAACTCTCATAAGAACAAGTGATATAAAAGTTTTTTATACCAGTACACATTCAAACAGACCACCTACTTTCATTACAATGTAGATGTCTCAACTAGCATGGCAGTAAAATGTTATAAATTGTAAGTCATGGCCTGATGGGCTACATTTTCTAAATAATAATCCAATCAAATCTTTTATTAGTTCACTGCCTTAACCGGCATAAGGCCAATTATGACATTTGTTTCACTTGCTAATCAGTTTCATAAGCTGCGAGGTTTATTGCAGGTAAATTTTGCCAATACAAACATTTATACTACTTGCATTCTTTCAATACTACTCCTGAGAGACAGAACTTGCTGAATTACACCACATACAACAAAACAGGTAAAAGAAATACAAGTAAATGTCAGGTGTTAACAGATAAGAACAAATCAATCAGAATAATGCGGTAATAATTATGTATCTAACATGGTATGCAACAGGCTATCACATTTTGCAATAATTTCAGACTTCAACTCTAGGGAAAAGCGTTCGTCGTCTCCAAGCAGAGTAAGGCCATTTCATAACGTACAGATTCCTCCAAAATGTGAACTCTGCGATTGATATTCCACTGCCACGTTTTGTAGACCCACTCGTAGTCAGAAACGTAAAACAGGGGTCAGTAGTAACAGCTTTTCCCATAACAGAAGGAACTTTTCCCAGATCCTCTGGGCAAGGTTGTTCCACGAATAAACACAGTAAAAGTTACAACTGCGCAAATCTAAGTACCAAGCCACGGAGGCACGTGATGATGTGCGGTGATAAAACTCACCACATTATAGACCTTGGCTTTACGTGAAGGTGAGCAGTGGTCACCAAAACAGCCTGGCTATTCACTCATGTGGCATCCCCAGCACCAACAAATTTTAATTAATATAAGAATTTGATTTTAATTACTGAAGTTGAATCTCTCCAGTTGTGACAACTTGGATTAATCTGGTGAGACAATGGCATTTAGCCGAGAGTTTACATTGCATCAAAACCCGAAATATCATCATCTCTAGGATGGTAGTTCTAAAAAAAACAAAAAACAGTCTAAGCAGCTTGAATATATAGAACTGTACTACAAAGATTGCTCCTTGCCTGTATATCGGCTGTTAATCTAAGATTAATCCACGAGAAAAGAAAACATGCAATCTGTTATTCCACGTAGCAAAATCCCAGAAATAATAACGCCAGCGCTAGTTTCCTGTTGCATCTAGCGAAGGTGCCAATGAACACTTGGCAGTGTGACAAAATGGAGACTGTGCAGATGCACAGTGATAACAAAGACAGTGCGACCCTTTGTATCGCATTCCTTATATTTTTTGCACTTCCAAACTGTGCCTTTATTTTGGCAGGAAATACAAATGACGGGAATTGACGGACAATCAAGGGTCAGTATGAGAAAAAAGGTATTAAATGCAAACAGAGAAAAAGTGTAACAGTTTCTCATCTACAATGTTTCATAAATTTTTAACAAACAACAAGTGAAACATAACATTTTAATCAAAGCAACACAGCATTTATGCTCATTAACTCTCATCTCTCTCCCAAAATTTTACCTTCCATTAAAATAGTAACATGGACAATCTGAGACAAGTGAACCATTACCGATGAACCCCTTAAGATTACCATAAGAATCCAACAATTTATACACCTTTTCTTTACCTATGCCTGAAAGAATTTTTGATTCAGTAATCATCTTCATCATCATCATCATTATTTTCAAGAAATATACCAGGCGCCACCCACCAATCATCCTCGTCATCTGGAAACGGCACTCCATAAAAGAGTAGTCTGTAACACTTTGAAGAACGATCACTGAAATGCAGGTACGGACTTTCAGGATCGAGGCGTTCCTCACACAGCCAGCAGAAGAATGTGTTGCACTTCCAGCAAACCATTTTGTTGCATCCGTCCGACTTCTGGAGGCGGAGGCAAACAAAAGAAAATGTTATTTGCTGACAAAATGGAAATGAGAATGAGTCTGTTTGTGATTTGAAGGACATTTCTGGCAAGAACAATGCACTACCTCTATAGCAGCACCACAGCTGGGGCACTTCTTGCTGTTGCTGGCTAGCCAGTTCTCAGAAAGTGACGTGTCCACCAACGTCTGCAACTGTTTTCTGCCATAACGCTGCTCCATTTGCACTCTCCTTTCGTCACTTGCATTGCAGTATTCCTCCACCAGGCGACGGCGCTCATCTGCATCACGCACAACGTTCATCCATGTCAAGTCAGTAGTTAAAAGTAAATATTTTTACTGTACTAATGAACAAACGTTGTTGTGATACGGAGTACATAAACCACTATGCAGAGATCCTAAGCCCAAACCTCTGCTCTTCCTACAGTCTTTAAACAGAAACTTGTGCCATGTAATAAACTTCCAAAAACACAAAGATAAGCAAAACAAATACGAAAAGACACTCAAAATAAACTTAAAAAGGCAACTGTACTCACAAGACCTTAACCTGCAGGGTTCGATGCCATGATACACCATTTTGCAGTGGATACAGAACGCATACGCACATGACGGACATGTTGCCATGTTTTCCCCAGGTTCCAAGATGACTGGGTACTGACAAGCAGGCCTTGGACAATATAATATATTCTCCATTGTATCCAACAAGGATGACAGAAGTACTGCATCATAGTGTGAAAACAATTCTGCGCTCACCAGCTCTCGCACCTACATAAGAGGAGAAATCAGAAAAATACCATCATTCTAGAACAAATAACCAGGTACAACTCACGGGGACAAGGACAGCCCAGACCAAAATCCAGACTGGACATATAAAAACAAGCTACTCACCTGACCAGGCACTGCTTCAGAGGTACAATTCCCTTCCGGACAGCAAATGCTCTTCACGTTGCCATCCTTTATCCGCACTTCAAAATATTCTGCCACGCAGCTCTTACAGAAGACATGCCCACAGCCATCAAAACGAGTGCACTGAGAACCCTGCTTATCCTACAAATCAACAGGAACATAAGCCTAAGTCTCCTACACCAGCAAAAAGAAAGGACAGAACAATAATTAGCTTCCTGCTGCACGGTCTCACCCACGCAGTAACTGCCCAAACAACCACAAAATACGAACATTCACCGGCGTGTAGCACGAGTCTGGCCGCAAGCCTACGCCAGTGTCACACTGGAATGTTGACATACAACCGCGACATTTTGCAGCGCAGCAATCCACTGCCACAGAAGTTTGCCTTTGGATCTCCCCAATCCTGACTCAGTTCATCTAGTCCACATTTTCACCGCCTAAATCAATATCTGCATTATCCTCCACAAAGAAATTCTTACGCGTAATTAATGTTTCTCCGAGACATGCTAAGCATCCTCTTCACTGCGACCCTACCGCAGAAGCGACAGTCTCGTTTATTTCACATCCCGAGTTTGTCAAACAGAACAAAGTCTGAAACAATTTGCCTCTACAACGATGAAGTTTTCTGCAAATCTACTATGGACTTTTGGGCCCCAGAAGTTATATACAGTACACATACTCATTCTTGGAACATCTGTGCACACGTGCACTAGACAGGATACTGTCAATTTCTTCCGTCGTTGATGCTCTGGAATAAAAACTGAGACCTATATGGATATGAACACACTGTATCTAAACACCACACAAACAAGGACAAGGGAACTTACCTGAAAGCAAATCTTGCAAGTGTGGATGCTACGGCTGAATTCCACCCGCTGTCTTGCCTCGTCGTAGTCCCTGAGCAACTGAACGATTGACGTCTTTGGTCTGGCCAGAGCACTGTCACGCATCGCATTTGACTGAACTGACTTTGAACGTTGTTTTCTCGCAACATCTAAGGATTCAGAAGCTTTCGCTCTTTCTACACCGTCCGAAGTAACCACAGCCTCTTCCTCCTGATTATCAACAGTACAATTCTGAGAGGCATTCCCCACATTTGCCGCCTTACTGCCGTCGCTACACCGCCGATCTAATACACCACCAGGTTCTGAGGAACTTTTGTGACATTGACTGTCTTTAGCTAGATCCTCACTGACCACCTGACCACTATTAGAACCGGTTACCGAGACCCAATGGTTGTTCCCTCTTCTCACAGACCTGTTATAATAAGAATTGTGTACCCTACCAGCAGTTCCTCTATGATAGCGTCTCTGTGCCCAGTTTCCACTTCTTTTATTACTGCCGTAAACAGACACTCCTGAGTTACTGCAGTTACCCTGAACAGTCCCTGTACTTTGAATACTGGTTGTCATGGCTTCAGTCTTCTGAGGAACACAATTTTCAGTTTTAAATTCAGAGACTTCATTACATTTCTGCTGAAAGAGAAATAAAATGTCAAGAATGAGAAAATAAATTAACCAGACTGTGCAATAGTTATACACTTTAACGAAATCAAATTGTTTTAAAATTAAAATTTAAAACCAAGTTGTTCTCTTATTTATTTATTTACATTCAGCAAACTGGAGAAGATGTACTCCACATGATCACTTCAACCTTGAAGATGTAGAAAGTATGTTTCTCTCAAATACTGGCATCCAACGATGAGACTATATGGCACCAAAACCCAGAAGAACGTCAACATATCAAGTCATACGTACAGAATCCTTGAAGAATTAGTTGATAATCCACTAAACACAAACACAATATGAAGCTACGCAAATGACGTACTTACTTTCCGTTGATTTCTGCCTCTGTCACTTCTACCCCATCTCGGTCTGCCTCTTTGTTTGCTCCTTGGGTACTCAACGGCATCGTCACAAGCGGCCGGCGCGTAGTCCGACTGCTGCAAAAACGCCGAGCTCAATTATTTCCACACACAAAAGAAGACGCAGAGCCACATGGCGAAACTGTTCAGGAGATAATTTGAGCAGAAAATGTAAACAAATTGTTGCTCAATTCACCGCTCTCGTTTAAAAACTGTTTAAAGTAAACTGTCCAATCACGTATACATTTCGTTATTGTCTCTTTTCAGTCTGAATTTTACATTATATTTAACACAAACATCCAACTATTTAATGGGAATGAGCATACAATTCTACAAATTCCTCCATAAGAACCACTCAGTTACCTCCTCCAGCTTCAAAGAGACAGTGGAGTCCTCGACATGAACCAGTTGTCTACGATGGCCCCTAATGTATGTCACAGCTACTAGGACAAAACAAATAATGTTATTGCACTGCTGGAGCATAAATACTTTATTTGGTGCATCCGCATAAAAATAATCAAGCAAGTTCAGTTAAGGAGAACTTGGAGGCCACACAATCAGACCCCCTGTGACTGATCCATGTGCCCAGAAAATGGATGTTACACCAATTACACACCTGGCATGAAAAGTGGGGAAGGGTACTGTCATCCCGCAACCATGTGCCTTCACAGACGTTAAGGCAGATATCCTCCGAGAAAAAGAAAAGTGTTTTTCAAGGAAATCAGCATACTAGATTCCACCAAGATGATTTGCTCAAGAAGATTTGATATCACATTTGGTTCAATTAGGAAAATGTCTTTAATTCCAGTGAAAACATTGACATTAACCATTATTTTGAAATTAAGAGCACGGAGTAGCATGAGAATTCTGCAGTGCCCGTTCACTTCCTGTGAATGCTGCCTATTCAGTCCATAACACACAGCACAAGAGACGTTCATACACGGTTTTGCGTAGAAACCAGTGACAAAAGGGGAGGTGAATACGACGTAGAGCTCGCACGCACGCTGTTCGTGCTTCTCATGCAGTACGCCAACTGCACTGTGAAAGGCGCCCGTTTCACGCGCAAGTCAAGTGTCACTCGCGGTAAGGCAAAGACTGGGGGCATGGGAACGAGAGGAACGGGTCCCAAATGCAGTGAACTGGAAGATGCCAACACACCATTTTACGCTGTGATGAAAATACATGTTGGAAGATGAATTTCAAATGGAAGATATGGTTAAATTACTACAAAGAACTTCATATTAAGAAAACTACTGATTGTTAAGGATAAAGGAAATTACTTGCTCAGAGTAAGAGAGATGGGTGGATACATAGAAAAGGTTTTATGAAAAACAAGTGATGTAAAAATAGAGTGGACAAATAACTGGACCAGTCCTACAGAACCCAGGGTTACACAGGATGGTCATACTTCGTTAACCCCAAACCAAATAAACAGAAATTTAAACACATTAAAGGGTTCTAGACTAGAAAAGTTAATTTTTCAGTTTTGTTATGTAAAAGTCCTCTTCGTACAGATCTCCACTCCCAATGTAGCTACTGGTATATGCAGTTTTGCCAATATATGGAAGTTCTTGACATAAAAAGATTAAATGAGCAGCGGGTTTACTAGGTACGTCATCCATTACACCGACCAGTCCAAGCGTCTTGCAAAAAATGTTGATAAAGAGACAAACATTCATGCGGTATAATTCTAAGAGGTGAAAAAGACATGCATTTACAACTGGATAACTTTGTAAAGACCAGTTCGCTTAATATGACCATAAGTTATCAGCTTGCCTTGGAAGGTGCATTTACATTTCTTTTTTCAGATTTCTCATTCTTCCTTTTCTGTTCTTCCTCCAAATGAAGTGCCCTCGTGGCTCGTCTAAATTCTTCATGTTTTATAAAGGCTGTTTCACGAGGACTCACATCAAGAACGTCCGCAATCTAGAAGAAATACAAACAGCGTAACTCCAGCGTACAAGCAGGACGTGACATCCGTGCAACAAAAACCGAGGACCTAGAATTTTCTAACTCCAGAACCAGAAGTGATGTAAGTACACAGCTTACGTACATAATTATAATCAGTCAAATATCCTTGTATCTGTTCATATGTGGCTTTTCTGCACCATCGCTCACAATTAGTCGTGCCATATATTGTACATCCCGGCCAACAAAATTGCAGATCTACAAAACACTGATAAGGCCCCTCTTATTATATACATCTGAGACATGAACCTTAACAGAAAATGATATCCGTATCATTGCTGAGTTTGAAAGAAAGGCCCTACGAAGAATAATTGGGCCAGCGAGTGAAAACGGTCAATGGCGAAGGAGATATAATGCAGAATTGTATTTAACCTATCGTCACGAGTATTATTAGATCTGCTAGACGAAGGTGAGCAGGGCATGTTGCTAGGATGGAAGACAGTGACCCACCAAAGAAAGAGGGGCCACCCCAAGCTCAGTTGGGTTGATAGAGTGAAGGGGGGCGCAAGAGTGTTGGGATGCAGAAATTGGAGGGTGGTGGTGCGAGACAGAGGGTGGAGGGTCGTTGAGGAGCACCAGAGAAGAAGAAGGAGAAGATATATTATATATATAAAAGAAGATACCAATATGTCAGCCTGATTTGAATAAAAGCATGAATTAATGTTAATAACTATTCTGAGCTTCAACCACAGATCTCAGTTGTCTTTGCATGGACTCTGCGATTCCAGACATGTTCACCACTGTGCAGACATGAAATCAACAGTGGTAAATGTTGGCACCATCGCTTTCCAAACAGCAAGGACGAATGCAACACAAATGCAAACATTCCTCCGAGTTTAAGAAAAGAACTTTACATTTACCTTAAGAAATTTAAGAGCATCCTCCTTAAGAAACTGTGTCCACAAAAATAACACCTCCATGCCTTCATTTTCCTTCCAGATTGCATTCAGCTTCTTGCACAACAACATTACCTGCAAAGGTAAATTGCATAGCAAAAGCGTCATAGATTATAACTGTGTTCGTAACACTGAGCATAAACAAATTACTTAAATTTGGTCAGGTCTACATCAATTTCACACATTACCACAAGTTAGATTAAATTTAAATCAGCACTGCACTTTTAAACATGCAAGAAGCAAATCAAAATATGAAGGGATGAGGTTTGTATTGTAGAGCTAGTCTCATTACGCCAATTAAGCCGAAGGAAACAAAGCACATACACAAGATTACCGAAGCAAGTTGTGACAGCATGAACTAGAGTATAACGGCTCTGATTAATATCCAGTGATGAACTTTTGTGATGAAAGAGGTGAACCTTGAACTTCCATATCAGTCAGGAATTTCTTTAACATCTGAATACGTATCAAATGCATGCTTAGCACTCACAACACACAGGGACTGCTCTTTACATAGCTTAAATCATACACTGCTGAAAACATTTTTGTGCATCAAGGTTGATGTTGACAAACTGTTCTATTCCACTCTAAATGTAATCAAAATAAGCGTACGTTCATTAGTTTATCTGTACAGGTTTCAAATCAATATTCTTCAATAATTTCTTCATGTACCTGAACAAGAACAGATTCCAAAACAAGGTGTGTTGCCTAATTCTAATGTTCGTTTCCTGCATTACAAACGCAAACATAAAAATTTCCGACGTCAGACTTCATCTCACACCATCCCAAAAAACGTAATATTTAAGTAATTCCATACCTTATTTTTCTTTAACCACTGGCAAGACAGCCTATATACCGGTGGTGAATGAAATGGATAATCACTTGGAAGGCTGAAGTGCAGACTTATGGGCGGAAGACATTTCAATGGCAGTTCTTCAAAACTAGAATCTAATACAGAAAGAGGCTATTAAATAACACTTCGAAGTATACTAAAGAACAAACATGCTTGAAATTATTGTCTTATAGATTATAAACATGCTACAAGTTGTCATTGTTTTTATTTTAGAACTACGTAACCCTTTTACTTTCACCAGAAATGTTTACATGATTTAATAAAGTTTTCTTCCAACCTTCCTTCCGTAAATCCCTGAAGACAACTCTGAATCCAGCCGGAAGCTCAATGTAGGCATAAAACTGACCTCCAAGAAGGCCATTTTCTTCATGAGTTTGTATTTCTTCCTCATTATAAATACTTTCTAGAGCGCATATTTCGTCTCTCTGACTTTCCTTGCTCGACATATAGAAAAGGTATTGTAGTTGTAAACTGAACTTATCACACAACAAATTTCTTTAACGAATTCTACCTCCAGCTTAATTTAACAGCCACAAACAATTTCAACCTTACCAGTTCGATTACACGTTATTGCACACATTAGCTCATAGATAAATGCTATGCATGGGAAAACTACTCGAAAAGTTCGAGCGCAGTGACGTCACGACCAATGGTGCGCGTCTTGGATAGTTCGAGCAGTTCCGGTTCTGTCTTAACAGCTCGGGATTCAAGCAACCTGAAACTTTTAGGTTATAAATGAATGTCTTAAAGCAGACTTTGCCCCATGTGCATTGTTGATGTATTATCCATATTCAACAGTTATAATTGTAACGATATCCCAATTATTATTAAAACGCGATTCAAATGAGAGGATACGTCCCTTATAGTTCTTCTTATATTAATTTTGCTTTTCTGAGTAGTGGCGCCATGCTGCAGCCTACATTAATTCTATCCCCATTTAATATATCCTTGCCAATGTTTAGGAGGCAAGCAATTCTAAAATTAAAAGTATCAAAGTAGTTTGGCACACAGTCCCGGGTTCAAAGGAATGGGCAAGATTCATACCTAATGGGTGGTTGGGTGTATGTGTAAACAGTCAGAATCATCACCTTGACAAGATTTCAAACGCCCAGAAAAATAAAAAGGGAGCTAAACGGGATCTCTTTAGCTGGTTAAACATCTATGTAGTCAGGATAACTGTATCTACAGTCACAGTGATAACTCAAAAGGTATCTGCATGTACAGAATAATATGCATGCAAACAGGAAGATCAATGAGAATTCAGAAAGGTATTGAATAGCCAAATTAATACACAGTAAAATATTCATAATAATAAGCAGCTGAATGGTTGTCTACAATTATTCAAATTGACATACAACTCTACACACATCTATACAGCCAGAACACATACCTTAGCAGAAATCTATTCAGCCTGAATAGGCAGTTATGGATGTCTATGTGACCATACTAATACAAAGCTACTCAGAAATTCAAATAGCCTATGCAATAAGTATGTAATTATACTTCGACATACTCGATGAAATAGGCAGTTATGATGTTGCCAAAACAACTGCCATCTAACTTTGGATGACAAGGGGATAAGAACATGAGGTTAGGTTTCCAACAGATCTACGAACACCATCTAATATTGTCACTTTATTTAAACTCTAATCTGCACACCATAACCAACTTTAAAAATATAGTTTTTTAACTAGTAACACGAGACCCTTGAAACAACTATCTTCATGCTCCTGCAATACAACAAATCTAAAACCCCAGAAAGTACGTAAACTTTGCGTACAGATTGCACTTCCATCTGTGCTTTCAGGAATAACCTCTTCTCTGCTAGCAACATGCCATTCTTCCTCTTAAGCACAATCATTTGCTGGCCTTCCCAGCTCAACTGCCAGCAATATATCAATACAGACACCGTAACAAAACATCGAAACAGACAACAAAAGCTCTTTGCTTTGTGCTTCATTTAGACACCAAGTGCAACAGCAAATACAATCACTGAAAAGCATCCATCACACCTCGAAGATTCTCAAATTTACAATTTGATTGTTTTTGAGTCTGTAATACAATTTTATGTGTACCTTAAGCTATTTATTAGGTAATAACACTTTCATAAAGTCAGTACTTTGTTCAATCTCATCTCCTACCCATGTCAAAGCATCTGAGTAATACCATCTTTGAGCCTAATTTATGTTTTTCAAGTTTTTAAATCAATCTTCCAGTGTTCTACAGGATAACACTGTTTTCAAAATTCAGAACCATTCCCATACGGTACACAAATTACCAACACAGAGTACGAATTTCCATCACAATCTGCTGTGGAATGTAAACATTTTTCAAACTGAAGACAAACATTTAGGTAATTTTTAATTCATATTCTGTAATTCTTGTTCATGTGCTTAGAAGAAGCACTTCAACATTAACTTACATCTAAATTAGAAGTTTATTAAATGTTCATGATGTTTCACATCAGTTCTGCTCTTCATTCCTTTGTAAATTTGCTTCTTTATTAATTTGATTTATTTCCTATCATCATCTACATCGATGATCAAGCTGTTCTAAACTTTCACTTGTTTTATGTAAGGCAACTGTCGCATCTTGTCGCTAGCATTGTTCATTTTGTTTCTGCATGTGCCAGTCTTGTTTTTGTTCTCTGAAGCGAAAACATTTCTTCTTGTAGCCTTGTCCATATACTCCTCCAATTTTTATTTCTTCTTCTTTGCACATCTTTCTCTTGTTCATATCTATACCTCTCTTCATGTCGCTCTGGGGCTTCAGATGTTTTATGTACCGCAAACTTTGTCTCTCGTCTTCCACGACAATCACCTTGTTCCTGTACACATTCAGCTTGTTTTTGTTTTTGTTCCATAGTCTCATAAGTTCTTTGTACTGCGCACGATTTGTGCACTTCGTGTTGTTTTGGAAATGCACCTTCTCTTCTTACTGTACCCTTTCCTTGTTGTCATCTTTCACTTCTTAGGAGACTTCCATTTGCTCTCTGCTGCTTCGCATAGCTATTCATGTAACTTAGGCGCTTCTGCCGTTCCTCTGGCGTCTCACTGCTTCTTCTCGAGCTTTGCCATTCTCGTAGTCTTTGCTTTCGTTCTTCGCGCTGATCTGGGGTTTCACTTGCTCTTCTGTGTTTTGCGTAATTATTCATCTGACCGAGTCGTTTTACACGCTGATCGAGACTCTCGCTTGCCCTTCGTTGCCTAGAATAAATAATCATTTGACTGAGGCGCTTCTGTCGTTGCTCAGGAGTTTCGTTTGCTCTACGAAGTTTTGCATGCTGTTTCATTTGGTTTAAACGCTTTTGTCGATGCTCTGGAGATTCATTTATTCTTCTGTTTCTTATTATTTCTTTAAACTTCTCCCTCTTATTGAGTAAAAAATATTCCTGTTCATTCATGGATTCACAATATAATGTCTGCTGACTGGACACCTGTCCACGTGTTTCCAAAATTTCTTTCATCTAAGAAAATAAACAACAAATTATTACTTCTAAAATATAAATAATTGTACAAGGAACCCATTGTCCTTTGTACTATGTTACCTTAATACCTGTTAAAACATCACATTAAAATTAAATCAATCTCACCAGTCTCAGGCGAGATTTCAGATTCCACATCTGTGGCACCTGCGGAGACTGTGAGATTGCATGTCGCAGTCCTCCAACTAAACCAAATACAGCATCAGAATTATGTACATGAACAAATATGTTTATATGGGTGTACTTATGTAAAATATCAATAACCTAAAAAATATGATGATATCTGAAGTTACGACACAGAATTTGTTGGCATTATCTAAGACTATGCAACATGTACAAATACCACAATGCAAATTATTTTAAAGCTTCGGACCCGCGCGATCTAAGGCACAAGGAGCAAGAAAAGAAGTTGTTAAGTACTAAGCTATGGTATTTGAGGGACATCTACACAATTAACTTCTACCACAAAACAGAAACTGGATCAACGAGAAGTGAAACGGTTTTCTTCTATTACACAGTGGAGCTTCAAAATTTACACACACAGGGTAATAAGACAATGGAGCATGAGTGAGGAAAAACAAGAAATTAGTTTTGGGTGAAAAATCTCACAATATCATAAAATCCACTTTTTGGGGGGAAATAATTTTACAGTGGGTTTCATAATAGTACAACACGGAATGGTCCAGTGACGACTGCAGTTTGTACTACAGATACAGAAACCAGATGTTACAATAGAACTGGAATTTTGTTACTGCAGTTTCTATCCTCAACTGCTGAGCAACGGAGTTCAAAACAGTCATTTACTGAGTTAATTTTATCTCAAATAATTATAAAAATACTACAAAAGATCACTCCGTTACCTGGTCAAGTGGGTATGGCAGGCCGACACATCACGCTCTACTTCTGTTTCGGTTGGTACGCTGTCTACGCGTCTCTTACCTCGCCTACAGTAGAAATGACTAATTTTGGCAACACAAACACAGACGACATGTTTACTGAGCCTTCCAGTTGATAAGAGATGCTAGTGACTGAAAGCAGTCCTCGCTGATAAACATTGTGGTGGGGGCTAGCATCATGATGCATGATGGGTGATGAAGTAGGACAAAGATTTGGTGATACATCCGACAGTGGGCGTTGTGAAAATTTCATGATGTAGCTACAAAGCATCAGCTCTGATGTCAGAAGTGGCAATGACATGCGAACTGTACGTGGACAAAGCTAGGCACTGAGCAACCAATTTTCCGTCTAATGGCGATCACGACATAAACGCCGTTCTCATTGACCTGCTAGAGTCGTAATGTTCAAAAGAAGAACTCGCCTCAGCTTCAGATGGGAGAATGCAGTTGATGCTCTTTGTTGTCTGCGGCCTCGGGTTCACTGTAACGCTGGTGTGCCTCGCTGTGTTCTTCAGTCCCTGCCTTGATGGCCTGGGGAACCAGTTTCATTTTAACATGCTGAATCAGGTGTCTTCCTTACTGCTTACAACAAGCAACCACACCACACTACTTCTACTATAAAAGCTCATTACCTTGAAGCTGAAAGAATGAAAAATTAGCGACTTAAACACGACAAATTTACATTAAAGAAACACAAACTTCCCAGTGTATGGACACCGCAAGCACCTCGTGCCTCCAGCTACCAAGTCTGAGGCTCAAAATGAGAGTCAGAGAGAGGGAGTGTGTGCGAAAACAGTTCACATCATTACCACAAATGCACCTTATATTTTCCTTTCCCCCTTGAAGGCAATCTGCAGTACACGCTTTATTACGAGTTCAAGCTGAAACTGACACTCCAAGTTTGTATTTATTTTTCAAATTCTTAATAAAGTAATATGAAAGACAGCAACAACAGTCACACAAGCACAAGAACACATTTTACATACTTTGTGTGAAGAACACGTGATAATGAATAGTACCTCATAGGAAAATCAAAATACAAAATTGTGGTTATAAAGAACAATTTTAACAATTGAATGCAATTCAACTGTAGATTCTAGGGCCCATAATTCAATATAACACTGTAAATGCCACATCATTTAAGAAAAGTTATGCAGAATCCATAGAAATCTTTCATTTGATAGGTACAGCAGACTCAATAAAATATGTAAAACGAAATTTGTATTATTTACTTCTTAACATGGAAGATCCTTTGTATGTCAAATTGCACACTTCAGTACATAAAACACGCTAAATTACCAGGGTTAAAATGAAGTAAGAAACAACAAACAGTTCTTGAACTAATACAATCAGAAGGAAGAAATGCCAGCCTCATTCCCAAACATCCATCAAACTCACCTTAATTTCAGTAAATGACGCTGGCAGTGATAGAAATTTCTGGTACACATTCATGAACCGGGATTCACTATGCGACTGCTGTGCCTCTGGGTCTGAGTCTGGTTCCGACTTTGTTATATTCATTCTGTGCTGTACTAACCTGTTATTCTCAAGAAGTTCACCACTGAGGGTCAGCTGCATTATGAATGTAAATAACCAGCATCTTAAAAATAAAAATCACAACAATTGTATAGATTTTTCAGCACAAGGGATAATATTTACAAGCACTAAGTGTCAAATTACAAACCAATTGTCACATAGGCACATAAAATTGTCAAAAAGACATACTCTGCAAATGGATATTCCTATATCTGATTTATACAGTAAGTTTGAGCGTTAACTTTTTTGAGAGCTGATGAGTTAACATACATTATATCAAAAGAGAGTTTATATTTACAGACGAGTATCCCTCGTAAACAATTTCGATTCGTAATTTTTAAACAGCAAGTTGCTCATCCAAAATTGTTACCTATTATAAATTAATGTAAACTAAAGTAGTTGTGCGCGATAATACAGCAATTAACAGTAAATTACTGTCATAACTACCTAATGTGTATTAGAAACAAGTACTGAATAGTGTTATGGCATGTTCTACATCCTTAGATTGAGCCTATGAAGTATCTACGGAATGCAAATCAATTCTATTGTATTCTTATATTGTTCTTTTGCGACAATGTCATTCAAAATTACAAATACATTACCAGAAAAGCGTGAGTAGGATATGCAGATTATAATGTATACATCAGTTGTACCTAAATCTGACAGGAAAAGTTATTAAAAAGATTAGAATATTTGACATGACATCTCTTTCTTAGGAAATCTTTCGCGACTATGATAATATGGATGACCTCTGAGAATATCACTATCTGATACACGAAATGGTTAAAAAAAATCCATAAAATGTATAAAGGCAAACAATAACTTACGTTTCCACTAAAAATCTCAGACACACGTTGATAAGCAAATATTCATATTCATGCACATAACTGATGCCAAAGAGTTGATACTAAATGAGAATCTCAAGCAGCCCTGGAAAAGACGATCCGTACAAGCTCTTGCTGCTTACAGTTATCTCCACCAGAGAGCACGTAGAGTGTATTTCAATGATTATCCTAAGCGCACCGTTACGAAGTCTCCTGGCATCTACCGACCAAAGGCCTGAAGTAGATGTCCGTCCGAGCACACCCCATTGCACTGAGGTTTGAAATGCTGCCTGAAATACCGCTCCAAAGAGGGGCTGCTGAAGTCACTAGTGACATCATCTCCTTTAATAATATCTCCGAACTATGATAGACAAATGAATGTCGAAAGGCGGGCTACTGCAGTGACATCTTCCCTAATCAATAATTTCTCGGAACTAAATTTGCAGACGAATCGCGAGCTACGTCATTGGAATAGGCCTACCAACATCACCAATAAATAACACTTGCCAAACGTTTCCGTAAACTCAAATCGTCGATCAATTATGAAAACAGCCAGGATCTCGTAAACTACAGTACAATCAACTTAGCATGAAGCAGTATGTAACAAATATGTCTTATGTCGCCACTAGATCGCTCACATCCCGGAGCACATCTACCACACGACACACGCACGATATGCAATCTACCATTCATTATTCCTACATGCGAACACACGATTTCCAAGCGTGGAGCCTGGTCTCCATGCCCAATAACAACTCTATCTTGAGGAGGGCACTCCCTACAACGAAACAAATGTAGTTGCCTGACTTGCAACATACCTTCGTGTAAACACGTCTGTGCCCATTGGAACCTCCAATTATATGCAAATGTCGCCGTCCCTTCTTCTCTTGTTACAGATGCAACATTGGCGTAGCTCGCACACAGCACGTGGCAAGCAAACGGTCCACGCGAAAAAGTGACACAAGGGCCCTGCTTTAATCGAGTCACGTGGTTTCCGGGGCCCGTCTCGTCAAGAATTCCTTCACGACGGCGAGTCTGAAGATGGCGGTCTTCTGGGTTGTAATTTCAAAACTTTCGCTTCACGTGTTCGTACAAAGCAAATAATCATTTTTACAGCCATTTTTCCTTAGACTTTGATTATATGCGAAAGTAATTTGGTAATTACGAAGAAGGGAATATTTTAGGGACTGTTGCAGATTCAGAGGTTAGAGGTGTGAGGATGAAACAGTTTAATAAGGAATCATTAATCACTTCATACACGTGACAACCCCGCCTCTGTTCATGGAATAGGCGGGTTCAGAAATCACTGTTCTGTGGAGGTAAAATCCATAGAACGCAAATGACGGCGAATATTTCGATACCACCTGGAAATATCACGTGGCTAGGAAACTGCTTCTCAATAAGACAGAACCCCCGAGGCAAATTCAATCGACGTGAAGTCACCTCTCGAACTGAACCTCGCATTCACAGCTTTGGCCTTAACTAAACGCGACGGGGATTAAGAGCGCTACAAGGATTAATTGTAAACATGAAGACCCAGTTTCATTGCACAGTCCCGCAAAATGGGACCGGCGGAACAGATTTATCTCCTGCCTCCGAAACGGCTGTCGTGTCATACAAGAGCGAGCCTCGACTGAAAACGCAACAAATTCGAGTCATACGCCCTTCTTGCAAGAGTCGAGTGGTACAATACGAGCTACGAGAATGTTAGATGGCCACACCTCGTGTCGGAAATGCGCCTCGCATGCCCACAATTACAGCGCCTCAAGCGAACTGCGAATATCAACAGCCCTCGCAGAGCGCGTTCTGCTTGCTGAGAAAGTGCCAACCGGATGGCACTAGGACACACGCCTCTTCCTGGCGAAGAACAAAATGCCTGAACATAGTTGTGGTCTTACAGAGAGATCATCAAATCTCTCAGCGTCCATTTCCTTGGCTGCGCTGATCGTTCAAGTGCGATCAACGACTGACTGATCACCTCCATACTCGGGCGGTTATTATCAGGACGTGGCTCTGGTATCGCCAGCGATCTTAATTAAGGCGAGCAGATCGCAAGGAAGTCTTGACGCTCGTGAGGATGACGGGGCGTAACCCGGAGTCAAGGGATTTCTGTACAGGAAGAGAGAAATTGCTACACCTCTAAATCTCGAGCAAGATAAGCCCTGGTCTTAATTGAGTTCCGTAATATCCGCAGAGCTCAGGTAATTATCCGACGTAATTTCTTTCTTCCTTGAGCTCAGGCGAGTATCACAACAGCGTCTTAACAAGTTAGGAAACAACGCAACAATTCTGGTGCGCTTCAAGAGGTCGTGAACTTTGAAATGGAAGGACACTGTGGCCCGTACGAAATGGTGGGTCAGCTGGACGGATGATGAAACCGAGGGCATCACAGCGACAGACAGATTCGTCGGCAAAAGATCAAACTAATCGGAGAACGGATTTATTGGGACGATTGAACGCGACTCGGCCGATGTTTCCATTTGCCAATCAGAGAGGCGCTGCTGGCGTCGGCCTTGGCTCTTCATTCCACTAAACGGGTGATTGATCATTGGTTTGTCCGCTTCACCAGACCCACGGCCACGCGGTCAGATCGTGGCGCTCTGTCAGAGGAAAACCACGAAATCCACTCCTTCTTAAGAAGCTGACAGTCAATCAGTTCATAAAATCCCACATCTGAGCCAGCTCAATCCAGCGCACGACGTTTTGTCTCATCTTCTAACAATCTGTTTGCTACGCCACTCTTGCACACAATCAGCTGAAGCCTCTTGTAACTTTATTATAATTATGGAATCTGACGGCGCAGGAAGTGAAAGTCTCCATTAAGCAGCGCAGAAATTGAGTGCTCGGCCATAATTGATCCGTCAGCAGGGATATAAAAACAACTCCGCAGATGTTCACAGCAAGGTCGCATGATTCTGCATGAAGGCTAGTGCTACGGACAGGTGCACTCTTGACGAGTCTTCAATCACCTTCAAATGATTGGCGGTTTGTGAGGTCTGAGGTTCTCAAGGCGCTGATGCCGTCCGCGGACTCGAGCTAGACACAGGCGTTTCGGAGAAAGTTACTGCCTCCATCTTCACGCCTCAAGAAGCCAACGTACACGAGACGGAAACACTCAAGAGGATACGAAAATGTTCATTTTGGGCGTTTCTCGTTAAATTAATGGCTGCCAACTGAACGAAGTCAAGATTACGCAATGAAATCCGTTTTACCAAAGCAAATTTGGTACAAATCGGTCAGACAGTCTGGTCCTTGCTCCATGGAGTCTGAAGGACAAATGAGAATCGCGTAAGATGAATGACTAGACGGAAATCATTTCGTAATTAACTACAGAGAAAGAACGAGACGAGACTTTTGAACCAGCCTGTACACGTGGTCCCGCCTCGGTCAAGGGTCGAATCCAGCCTCAGGCGCAGCGTCCACAAACTTACCGATCGCCACGTTTCGCCCATTTTGCGGGGGAGGGGGGGCCTTTGTTTTGAACTGCGCCCCTCTTAATGCGAACATAACCTGGAAGGTAATTCGCAAAGTACAGACTGACTCGAACTACCAGCAAAAAGAACGGAACTTCACCAATAAACAAGAATAAACGAGCCGTTGGCCTTAATTACATTAATTTGTTATTTATTTATTTATTTACGATTATCAAGGTATTTGAGACACATCACAGAATATTAATACGTACATTATGACTTGTAACTCTAGTATTTAATTGTTAACAAATGCACTATTCTCTCAGTCTGTGGCCATTTTGTTGCAATACAGTTTGCACTTGCAACGATTATGAACGTCGGAAATGCAGCTCTCTGCCATTACCCCCTGCCCAAAACTCTCGCGGCCATTCCCGTGTCTGACAAACGCAGAGCCACGAATGAATTAAAGACGCAACTGCCGAAACATTCTCTGTCGCTCCGACATTTAAAACATTTCCTTGTGTTCTGGCGGCAAACACCGGGCCAATGCAAGGGGCCACATTTTCGATTTTCCACCTACGCCAGGGCATCAAATGGCCACACCACAACAAATATCATAAAGACTAGTACTCGCACTGCCTCTCGAAACCAAACTTAGCAGGCACCAAATCACTCCCTCGTGTGAGAATTATCTTTTCCGTCCACAGAGCGCGCTCGAGTTTCCAATTCCTGATCACTCAAAATACTAACCACATTTCAAATCAGTAGCTCGGTGTTCGGAACACCAAACAACTCTCTCGTGCAGCTACGAACATACACAAATGTACTTATAATTCTATAATGCAAACAAAAACTCTTAAAAAGTGAAATAATCTTGACGTCTGTGCCCAAATATCTCGACACAAAAAAACAACAACATTTTTTCCATGTATGGAACTCAAAAGGGTACAAGAAAGTGTAACATTTTTCACAGCTTCGATGGGAAGTTTTATGAACACATTAACATGAAACTACAACTACAAAAGATTTCTTTAACTGAGAACACGACAGCCAATCGGAGAAAAGGGAAGGCTAATGCAATGCCCTACAAAAAGCCAATTTAAAAGGGCCTGATCTCATCCGTGAAACATTTCAAAGTTCCTACATGGCACTTGGTGAACACATTCTGTAAGTCACTCACGACGTCGTGTCGGTGTTCTGGTCTCTTCCACGAACTTCGACGATCCTGGCGACGGAACTGCTGTCGTACGACGACGACGCCTCGCCGTCCTGTCACCTGGCGCCTACTTGTACTCCTCGTCGTGCAAGGGAACTTGTTGCCAGGCCTCGAACTTCTCGCGCTTCCTCGGACACCGGCCCGCCCTCCTGAGGTACGTGCCGAACTCGCAGCTGGGGACCACGCACTCCGCCCGAAGCACGCATCTGGAGCACAGGCGACAAGACATTAATCTGCGATTCAAGACGACCGGTCACTCAGGGGGCAGAAACAACGGTCGCCGTCGAGACGCTGGTAGTCTCTCAGCTGCTCAAATTCCCTGCCCCTTATGGACCCCAACGTGTTCGAAAGTTCCGGTCGCTGGACCACATTCTCAGCGAGATAAAAATCCTGCCCTCTCTCCCTCCCGTCAAGTCCTAGTCAAAGTCAAGAGGTTCTTCGCTTCGTTGCGAGCAGGCATCTGAGGTCGTGTCGAACTGATACTTAAAAATAATAATTAACCCACCAAATTCTAGCAACAGAACACGAAGTTCAAACACCAATGTCCTCCACGCATTGCTTCCTAATTGCATTACCACGCAAGGTTCCCTCCATTTTAATATTATCCTCCTCCCACCTTATTATCGCTTCTTCCGAACTAAACACAGGCCTGTGTGCAGTCCGACCGGAACATTCCTCAATTACTGGCTCCAAATGTGTGGGTTCTGTTCCAAGGGCGTGGACACCCCTGAACTTCCCTTGGGTTTATCTCGTAAGCCGTTTCATAATAATCACAAGCACGTGTTTGGGCGTAGAGTTGCGAGTCCTTTGAGATTGCCTACCGAGAGGGCGAGGAACGCATCTCCTGCTCCAACAACATCGGGCGAGGTCCGTGTCGGCGGTTGGCAGCCCTACTTACATGCGATCGTCGTACGGAAGATACTCCTTGCCGCGCTTCGACCTGATGCAGTCCCGCTGCTTGTCGAAACACTCGCAGACGCAGGAGCCGTCGACACGACGCGCCGCGAACTGGCTGGTGCATCGGCAGGACTCGCTGGTGCCGCTCTCGTTGTCACTGCGAAAACAAAAGACTGAAGAATAGAAAATCCGATCATCGGATCACCAGGAGGGGAGGGGACGAGTCTTCATTCTCGATGATATCTCACGGCTTAATTCCAGTAGCTCAAATTATCGACTGATTACCACCAAAACACGTCTCAGCAGTTGATCCAGCATAACCTTTGCAGAACGACGTTGAAGTATCTGCCAAAATAAGACGAGAGGAAGAGCAGCTTCGTTATTAGACTTTGAAATGGCCAGAGCAGGTCTCAGCGACCCAAATAGGGCGGTAGTTTCTCGTTACAGCGGACACAAAGCACGAGGCAGTCGCATCCTGACGGACTGAACCGACAACTAACCGCCCATCAACGCGACCTGCTTTGTTTCTGCGCAAGTGAATTCATGAAGCCGCTTCTTTCGTGTTCAGAGATACATTTTATTACAGGCCCACACATTATACTGCGTTAACGTTTGTTACAGATTCCGTAATTTCAATAAATTCGCTCATTAAAGGATCAGTAATCCCCACCGCATAAGCCAAAACGTGAAGACACGCTTAATAATAATCTGGTTCTCGTACGCGCTTTTCTCCAATGGAAATAAAAAAATTATGCCAGGGACTTGCATCCAAAACCCGCTCAATGCCAGCCAAATTTCGTACGGATAAACGCTTGTGTTAATTACTGCCATCTGCCGACAGAACCTAACCATTAGTCACACGACCAAGCCTTTGGGCGGTGGACAGCGAAAACCTTCAATGTAGACGCTGCACGAACGCCTCTTAATACAAGTTGTCTGTCTGTCTGTCTATCAGTCGGCCAGTTTCAGCGCGACTAATGAGATCACTCGCTGGAGGCTATTCGGCGTCTCGTTACTGGCCTTCGTTTTGGCCGAAGCTCACATTTTGGACACCCCTTGCGATCTACGCATTCCAAACAAAAGCGCAGGACGAATTAGAAGTTGCGGTGTCGCAAACACCAAATGAAACCGAGGGTATTAACGCGATTGAAACACTTGTCTTTGAACTGAGACGAGTACAAAGACGGCTGACTCGTCTGGCAGGCAGGCGAAAGATTTCCTGGACACACGGCCGAGGGGGGTAAGAGGCTTCACTCTGTCGACGACGCATCGCCACGGCCTACCTGTCAGTCCTGCTCGAGTCCGCGTCGGGGTGATGGTGACCTCGCAATTCCTTGTCCTTCTCGCTGCTGGCGATGGGCCTGTCCCTCGGCATGAATTCTTCCAGTCTGTCCACACACACGCACTCCGTGTGGTTGTGGAACACGAGTTTCTCCACAGACGGACCACCCTTGTTCCGCGAGCCACCGGATGCCCTCAGCGTTGTCGTCTGAAACGAAGAGAGAATGTCCTTTTATGCAGAAAGACGTGGAAAGGCTTCCGAGTGACAATGAAGATGGCCGACTGCAGCTCTGTCGAAACTGTCGAGTGTCAAATTAGCTAAAGCACGACACAAAATCATCCACGGACATTAACGCCACGATGAGGTCGTAAAAGAAGGAGGAGACAGCACGTTCCCGCGAAGAGATAAACTGAGATCTGTGCCAGCCTACGCGAAGTTTCGAAGACGCAGGTGTTCACACTGACAGTCATTTGTTATTTCAGAACAGCGCAATTTGTCATCAAAAGGTTGCCACTTGAAAGTCGTTCTCCATCTACAAAATTTCGTGTCGGCTTTCACACACGCCGTGGTCTGGCACGTGCACTGAAAAAGCACTGGAGATGTTAACGGCACAGACGGAAGCCGTCCTCAATCGGAACAGAATGCGCGTGTTCGTATTACAATGAGATTGTTGTGTTCAAAAAGAACATCTCAAGTGCGCGCAGCTCTGACTGCTCTGTTGTCAAGCTGCCGGTGGAAAATAAATGGGAACACGATTCATTCCTACGCCAGAAAATCTAATTCAGTTTAAACACATTTAGAATTCAAGAGGGTTCATCTTCGGCGTTCACGATTCAGTTTAAACACATTTAGAATTCAAGTGGGTTCATCTTCGGCGTTAGCGGGAAAATATCGGCACACGGGTTGTGATCCAACCGCGCGTCTGTCCGTCCGTCTACCTACGTGATTGCCTGTTTTATCCATCCACCTGACTAACGGACCAACTCAATTCACCGACCGACTAGCTCAGCGGTAACAGACACAAATTTTCAACGCCGCTAATAAAAGAAAACTGTTCTGAGGCACTGCAATCCAATCCACACGTCAGAACAAGTTTCCCTACGGCGCTTTCCTCTCAGAACAAAAACGAGCAGCATTTTCAGCTGTCTTACCGAAACTGGACATCGACTTTCATGATTTTGTACCAATTCACACTCCTTCCGGTTCGATTTCCCCCTTAAAATCCGGTTTGTATCCGTCCTGAGACAACGAATGAATGAGGATTTTAAAAAGTTTAAAATTCTGGATGAAGTGGGAGCAGCCTGGACCACACGCCAAGGAGGCAGTGAAGGACCGAGATTTGGCAGACGCAGTGTTATTAAGGCAACACAGGTTTCATCAGAGGTCAGAGGTGAAACGGATCGACAATGGCGGCGGAAGGAGAGGCCACGGCCGACCTGATGCCTTATACGGCAACTAACCGCGAGACACGGGTCGTCGTGGGCGCTCATAAGAAGATCGAGCAGCGCAGGGGCACTCAGCTGTTGCATGAAATTGCTCATCACACGCGGTCGGGATTGTCACAATCTCGTCCAGTGGCTCGTTTCGCCACCAGGACGCTCCCAGTGGTTTCGCCGAACAGCGAATTCAGAAGCAAGTGTAAGTAAGTGTACATGTTAATGCAACTTAAGTTGTTCCAGCTTTCATTAATCACGCCACGCATCTGAAACTCACGTTCCAACAGACAGAGGAGAACACGTAGCCCACGACGTGTTGATGGCTTTAAAAATGGAAGTTCCTCTGCGTTGCTCGTCAGGAGACGAAACGATCATTAACAATGGCACGGCGCACACTAGAACGCGAATCAATTCCTAGGGATTTCAATCTACATAGACCACTGGCAATCTGAAACGACGTCATGTTATCATCGGTTGTACAAGACCGAGCAGACACTGGTAATTTGTCGTTTCAACTATCAGCCTTGATTTTGGGGTTTCATACCTTTTACCAGGAGATCGAGAAATTTTTACAAAACAGGCGACGGCTGGTCCTTTTACCAGGAGATCGAGAAATTTTTTTTACAAAACAGGCGACGGCTGGCTTCTCCCGCGACTTGCGAAATTTTGCCTCCGCAAAATCTCACCTTACTCCAAGATAAAAAAACGTCAATATACACAACACGAGAAATAAGCTAGAGACACTCACATACAGTAGAACAAATCGTTTAAACTTAAGCAAATGTCTGTTGTTGCGAGCGCCTTTCTGCCTTCAGACAGCCCTAATTTGTCTGAAGACGTAAGAACAAAACGCCTGGAGCTTTCAGAGGACGGACGGACCAAGCACCTGTCTGGTCAGTGCCTGGCTCCAGGGACCGCTGACCTCCCGCACGTTGCAACATTAAGCTCCAGGCTCCTTCCACTATCAATAACAACACAATGCGTTAAGAAGTGGGCCCTTCACAGATTATCCGGGGACGACGCACGGCTCTCGAAATTACACCTGGCATCTAACGCGATCGAACGGCGTAACAAGTTCTTCTTATAGTCTTGGCTCTCTCGATAACAGGTTCGCACTACGAGGCACAAATATGGTCACACCAACTTCATCATAATTATCAGTTGACAGGAAAATATGACCACACTTCACGCACCGCTTTAAGAATTGTGGACACGCGCGTGGAATACACAAACTTGCTACTTCAAACAAGACCATGGGGCAGAGTCCTTCCTGAGACGCTGACAATCGCTCAGCTGGTCAAGAGAGTATGAGTCCCTCATCCCACTCGAAGGTTCACTCACAGCACACAAAATCACACACCCCTCAAATTCCGATGACTGAAAATCGAATTATTTATATTTTGTTATTTTGGCTAATCTTAAAAAGATCAGCAGACGGTTCGCGAGCCACTTGTTGCCTTCCGCTGCCACTTGTGCATTGGTAAGACAAACCTGTTTTGCGTACGTGTGTGTGTGTGTCTTTTGCGAGGGGGGAGGTTACAAGCCCCAACGTCCGGAATGCGAGCTGAGATGTTCGGTTCTTCTATTTATTTAACAGTGGATGTTCGTCTCAAACGCATGACAGACGATGAATAATTAGAGAGAAGTCGTAAAGACAGGAATCAGGGCTCTCGATCGTACCGCCTGCCGCTTTGTGTGACGGGCTGCCTAGTGCAGGGACCAAGGGCCTGAAGGCTCTCTCGGCCAGCGCGTTACTGGGCCTTAATGTTTCATACGCAACTGCAGCACAAGAAGATATATTTTCTATCCGTGTTCGTAAAGTTTGGGGTCCATGACTTACGGAATATTCTCTGCAAGTTACATTAATGTATTCTTCAGGCTTGTTTTTAGCTCTCAACTAACCTTGCACGGTGCACGGTGTTTCTTCGAGTGTTTACAGATACGTCAGAGGCGTTCCTCCGCTGCGATGCGATTCCGTCCTGCACTTCGGTGGGAGACATGACGTAAACACTCCGTGGACGTCCCGTGAGCTTCGAAGAAACAAGAGTTTTAAGAGAAATGTCAACAGATAATTTTCCGTCTGACTGCGGGACTCGATACAAATTCTTACCGTTCGTAGCGAATTGTGCAAATTGATACATTAAAACATAAGTTCGATCGGAGGATAAAGGCGGTTTAAGCCGCTTACATCGACAAGAAGACGCACACAGCACTGGGGACAACGGCGTACGATGTGGGCTTGAATCTGACCAGGAATTTTTCCTGCTTATCGCGAAATATGACGTAGATCGACACAACGAAAGGGACGAATTCCAGTTCAGGGAATGCATTAGTCCCGCCTATAGGACGGAAAAGTAGGAATTTTCGCCTGAAGATGGAAGCAGAGTCAGATATCGAAACGTAGTGGTTATACTTAAAAAAAATTATGTACGATAGATCAAGTCCAGAATGCGAAGTACGATCAGTGGAGCTCTTCAGAGATCTAATATTTGCAGCCTCCCCGACAGTTCTTTCCCCCTTTCACACCATCTTAATTCTCTATCTCTCTCACACGACGGAGCAGCTAAGAGACGGCACAAAGTTTTACGCACATTCGGCGTTCAAATCAGCAAAATCTGCGTCGAGCATCGAAGGCAAATTTCGCCGGAGGGACAGTTCTTACGAGGCAGCCTGTGTCATGAACGACCGGATTCCGCCAAGGTAGAACCAAAGCATCGAGCCGTCTCTATGACGCGCAGATGTACGACACAGTGTGCAGCTATTCAATTCAGTTCAATTGAATTCAATTCAATTCAATCGGCTCTGCCATCAGTCAGCAACATTCACAAATAAAGAACCAGAACGAAGCTGATCTGCTGATGTGTAGAGGAGGTCTCAAAGGCTTTATCCAGCGACACACTGGCTTACTACTACTCCTCTGTCGCAGTGGCTGAGGTGTTTCGCGATTTTCCTCGGGCCATCCAAGAAACCGCAGGGTTACTGCCTTAAATCAGGCCACGACCGCTCAATTTCCAATTCATTACTCATTAAACATCCTACCTTTGGACGATAAATCCCAAGTGCTTACGGCACTGTTAAACAGACGAGAAAAACAAATAGATGACAACCAATGTTTCTCCCAAGTCACTTCCAGCTGATACCATGACAACGTTTAAAAAATCTCCAACGGCTTCAAGCTCGGCGTTCCTTCTTCGTGACTGCGTGGGTGTAGGACGCGGCCTTCCTACACTCCTTTACGAAGGCATTCGGTTTACAGGAGAGTGTCGGCGTCTCCCACGCCTTTCATACACGATCGAACCAGCAACAATTATCGGCCCACCACGGGCCAAATTGTTTGAACACAGTTTCCGGACGGGGCAGCGTAACACTGATTCAGCGGGGCAATCGAATCCTTGCAGAACAAAACTCACCAGAATATAGGGCCTGCTTACACACGTGACATGTCTTTCAAATGCGAACCAATGATCTTGATGATGACATACGAGAACCAAGTGGCATTTCCACAAATGGACTCGGAGATCGGCGTGCTAGACATGAACGTTAAATAACACACGTTGTACACAGAGCTACAACTACGCTCTGAAGTGTTAAAATAAGTAACAGAAAGACTCACAGTGACGATATAAAATATAATTGGATCTACGATACGGGATGCATAATTTCGAGGATGGCTATTACGAAAATGGCGGTCTAATGGGACGTGAGCTCCTCTGAGTATCAACCAGACTACAAGGAGCAACATTCCATTAGACAACTATCTTCAAACTCGTC